CTAGTGTGCCAATTGATATGGAAGAAACAGACATTATATGTAATGCTTCTAAAGTGGTATTTTAACCAATTGTACCAACTGCACCATTTAGGTCTTGTAGCAAAGGAAACAAATCATGGCAATAAGAGTGCCGGACTGGACTTTTATTGTGCGTTTTGTAGCTTTTATTAGTGCATTTTTGGCTGGTGATAGTAAGACCTTTAATATTGCTTAAAGGGACTTTGAAATAGTTTAGGCCCCAAATTTGATCTCTTCTAAAATGTTTTCTGGCTGGGGATTTGACTCACTGATTCTAAATACCTCTACAGTTCATCTGTTTCTCTTTCAAAATATGCTACTTTATCATCTAGAAATCAAGGACAAAATAAAACAGGGCTTCTATAAGATATAACAGATTGCTTTCTGTGCTCTGTAGCATATGTTAAAAACAATTCCCAGTGCTCAGCTGATAATCCTCATCGATGCTGCTTTGTAATAACAATATTAAAAAAGCAAGTTTCCTTAGAAATCAGTGTTGTCCATTTGGGAAAAGACAGTTGTTAAAATAAGTTGCATTCCAACATATATGGAAATCATTGAAATGAAAATTCCTGACACAGTAAGCCCTAACATCTGAAGTCTATCATGGAAAGGCCTACTTAAATACTATGTGCTAGATTCCATCACCTTACTCATATTGAGTAACACCTGACACTCTCAGTAGTTACGTGATGTCAATAGCACTACAAAAGGAATGAAATACTACAGAATGTAAGAGTGGCAAAATTTACCCTATAGAACTGAATTTCATTAAAAATGATTTCACTATTTTCTTGTTTCTAATCCATGAAAGTATTTTAATAAATAAAATGGTTGAAGTGATTTTCAAGATGAATGTTTAGGACTACCACATGAAAATAATCAGACAATTCGCAGTCCCCTGTGAAATCTTACAAACAAAAGAAGCATCAAACAACTCTATAGTAATTTTCATTCAGTAGATAAATAAAATGCTATTACAGTTTAGTGTGGAAGTTGTCCATATGGTATGAAACTTTGGGGGGAGGGGGAGAGTGAACCAAATTTAGGTCCTTATCACACGTAGGTGCATGCTAACTTTGATCCCATGAGTAGTCCCGTTGTTGTCAGTAGAACTACTCACACGAGTAAGTGATTTCAGGGATCAGGGCAATACTGTGCACATGCTATGATCCTTTTAAGAAAAAATAAATGTAGCATAAACAATGTTTTTGAACTTACTTTGTCAGAAGTAAACATTTATGGCCAAGTAAGAACTCCCCCAGAATAGGCTTCTAGTAGCAGCACAAACAATGCCATTATTTTAAAATATTGAGCTTGCTAAGGAAGCCATCATCAGAAGTGTAAAGGTTTGTAAGTGTGATAAGGATGTAATCTTTGAGTATTGTCCTTTAACATGACTCAGTTGAAATTATCTTTAGGTGCAAAGATGCCAGATTCTCTGTTGCCCTGCTTTGTGTGTAGTCTTTTTTACACCAGTGCAAAGTGACTCTAAAGTGGGTGTAAAGTACTATCAAATCAGAATGGTAGTTTACAGCTACTTTGCACTCACTTTGCCTCTGTGTAAATGACAACACTAGGGTAACAGAATCAGGCCCCTGATATTTAAGAGAGGCATTTGCTTGTTAGAAAGAAAAACAGCTTTACTATGGTACCAGTAGAGATCTTCCTGAAAACTAGTTATTAAAGTTATGAAATCATTTCTATAAAATGTTTTTTAATTGGGGAAATTAACAGAAGTAATTGATTGTTTTTAAGTTGTTACCTTTCAGCATAGCATTTCTGCATATTCTAATGAAAGCCATGTGTATTCTACAAAGCCAAATGTTTTCTGATCTTGCAGAACCAAATGAGTAGTTGTGTTTTTATATATTTAAAAAGTCATCAGTAACATATGTGATGAGCTGATGTTTAAAATATTCAGCATCATACTATGTGCTAATATTTGTAGTGTAAGTTGATGTATTTCTCTATTGAATTAATAGTAGCCTGCCTTTCTTTATGTGAGATGTAAAATGATGAAATTGCTGAAACTTTGGTCTTAGACTTCTTTTATTTAACCTTGCTACAACCCCGTTCCTTATTTGTCCAACTAACTGGTTTCAAACTTCTTATTATCAGGTACTTGTCAAGCATTTGGTCTACGAGCTCATTTTTACCCTGCTTAGTTAATTAAGGTGACTGTAAACAAAAAGATGTACAATTCAAAGTCATGCAGTGTTTCACACAAGGATGGAGGTGATAATAGCTTAATTCCTGCTAGATCTTTCCTGTCTTTGCTCTGGCTACTGCAGACTGACCTTGTCCACAATCTGATGACCTGCCTATTGCACTCAGCTGTTTGGAAAGCTGCTCTGCCATAGCTAGCCCCGAGGGGGTATCTGGGAGACCATTGATCCATTGACCCATGTCAAGACTGGATTTCAAATCTGATCTACTTGGGCCTCTGACATAGCTACACACAGGTCCACTGCACATAAAAGCCAACAGAACAGCCTGTATTTTTCTGCTTGTTAAATGGCATGCAGTCTCCACTTATTAAACGGAATACCAATTTTACACTAGTTGCTTGCTATTAAATTAATTTCTTGAAGCAATTACAAATATTGATCCATTCCATTCAGAGGAGGGAATTCTCCAATTTAGCAGCATAATTTTTTCTAAATCTACCAAATTATCACCTTTTACTTGCTGTGTTTCCTAAGACTGAATGTTAATGTCCCATTTTAAAAAATGCCTTTAAAATACATCAAAGTAAAAAAAACCCATAATTTAAATTAAATTTTAAATTAATGGAGATATCCCATCTCCTAGAACTGGAAGGGACCTTGAAAGGTCATCGAGTCCAGCCCCCTGCCTTCACGAGCAGGACCAACTACTGATTTTGCCCCTGATCCCCAAGTGGCCCCCGCAAGGATTGAACTCTCAACCCTGGGTTTAGCAGGCCAATGCTCAAACCACTGAGCTATCCCAATTTCTACATAAGCATTTTCTAAATAAATTTAATGTTTGGATCGCCCAGTTAAAATTACAAAAATCTGGAAATAAAAAAAGTTATGGTTCTAATAGCAACATTAACTAGACCGCATTGTATACATCCTACATATTATGTGGTAAATATATATTACAGAATAGACTGCAATATATTAAGTTACACGTTTAATTAAAAAGGGAAAATATATATTACATATATGCAGTAGGTTTGCAGTGTTGTTGTAGCCATGTTACTCCCAGGATATTGGAGAGACAAAGTGGGTGAGGTAATATTTTTTACTGGAGTAAACTCTAACATTTGCAATAAGGTAACTATACTATTGAAACTTTACTTTTCCTGAAATTATGTGTTTGACTGGGCCCTTAATGTTCCATTGTCTGCTTTAAATTTCCGTTGTTGTTTTTTTAAAAAAGAAGTGCCTCTTAATATTTAAATTATTCCAATTAAGCTTAGAAATTCAAACTTCATTAGCTGTGTGTGCATGATTGTTTTTCTGAAAAATTCCTGCTGTTGTAACCGCTGTTGCAGCTCTGCTAGTGAGAGCTTTAGTATAGACAGGCCACTGCTGTGTTAATCACTGGGTCCTAATCTCACTCAGCGCAGATATAGACAATGATAAAACTTCTAGTTCCAATCTTGTAACAAGCTCCATGCAGGTAGACCCCTTCACTCCCACGGGAGACCCTTTGACTTCAGTGGTGCTCCACATGGGTGCAGGGGTCTGCCTGCATGGAGGGCATTGCAGGATCTGTCTTGAAAGTTCCAGATGTTGCCGCCACCACCAGTTGAGTTGTACTGGAGTGGTGGAATACTTAACAACAATGGACTTTTTGACTTGTCACCTTTGGTTGGTTGGAGACTGTTTTTTGCAGGACTGAGGCTTTTGAAATGGAAAAAAAAATATAGAGGGCCTGATTCACAACTTCATTACTCTAGTTTTAATCTGGTATAACTCCACAGATTTCCAACTTCACAGAAAATTTACTTTTGAGCAAGGACCAAACATGGATAATTTCAGCCCAAATGGTGAATGCTTCAGACAGTATGTGTGAGTGAATGGGATTATTACCCAGGCTACGATTCTGTCACAGAGGTCACCGATTCCGTGACTTTCTTGGACTTCTTTTGGGGCAGGGCTGGAGCAGCTGTCAACCTCAGAGCGGTTGCTGCCGGAATAGCTGGCCAGCGGCCAGCCCCAGGGCTGCCGCCAGAGCAGCAGTCAGTGTTGGTTCAGCCCCTCTGGGGCTGGAGGAGTAGTAGTCAGCCCCTGTTGCAGGAGCAGCTGGTGGGGCTGGAGCAGCTGCAAGCCCCAGCAGCACTCTTTGTCCCCCGTCTGCCTCCTCCCCAGGGAATTTTTTAGTAAAAGTCAGGTACAGGTCGCAGGCTTCCATGAATTTTTGTTTATTGCCCGCGATCTGTCCATGACTTTTACTAAAAAAATACCCATGACAGAATCGTAGCCTTAATTATTACTAACTGTTTTGCAACATTATAACAATTATAGCAGGTGCTGCTTGTGTGCAGTGTTATGATTACCCTTTGTACACGTAGTAGTTATTCTTTTAAACGTGGGGATTGGTGTGAAACTTGAAAGGAGCAGTTTTGCCTCAGGTTTCAGCCAAAATTTGTTTGCACCATGAGGTCTTAATTTGTTCCTCACGTAAATGGTTTTAAAAGATTGTCTATGAATATTTGTCAGATAAACCTGTAACCAAAAACACTTTACATATGTTTTTTAATCAACAAAATATATTGTGAAATATTTCCTGAAAAATGCTCCCTTCCATTGTGTTAAGAGTATGATCAGGGCTTTCCAAAATCCGAAGAGGCTTTAAATGTTTGTGAAGTAATGAGAGAGGATTTCTACCTGTGAGTGTTTAATGTTCCTCTTATTGCACTCTGCCCTCCTCCCCCATCATTAATGCTTTAAGTAACTGTGTTGTATGTTAGAATTTATAACATGATATTGTTTTTCCTTTGCATACAGGAGCTGATTCCTGAATTTTATTATCTCCCAGAGATGTTTGTCAACCTCAACAATTACAATCTTGGTGTGATGGATGATGGAACAGTGGTATCTGATGTTGAACTTCCACCATGGGCCAAAACCCCAGAAGAATTTGTTCGCATAAACAGGCTGGTAAGATGGCTATCATCTTTTGTCAGTTGAGGGCCAGTTCTTGCAACTTCTCTACTAAAATAGCTTATGACCATTTGTCCTTGTCTTCTTGTATAGCTAGAATTTACATTAAACTATTACTGAAAATGATAATCTGATGCAATCTAAGGGAGTAAAGGTTTCTTACAAAGTGGGGGCGGGGGAGGCTTGTCCCCTCACTCTTTTTGCTTTAAACTTTCTTTGTACATTGTAAAGAAAAGTATTTGCGTGGGGGGATATTGTAAAGAAAAAGTAGAATAGGGAGCGCTACATAATTCTTTTTTATATTCAGATCTTGCCTACCTTAAAAAGACTCGATGATTGAAGGACTAATTAAATTATCCTATCACAAGAGACTGAAAATTGATTGATTTTCAGTCAGCCAGGCTGTTTAAAATGTATATTTTTATTTGCATCCGAAGAAGTGGGCTGTAGTCCACAAAAGCTTATGCTCTAATAAATTTGTTAGTCTCTAAGGTGCCACAAGTACTCCTGTTCTTCTTTTTGCGGATACAGACTAACACGGCTGCTACTCTGAAACCTATTTTTATTTGCTTTTTTTAAACACTTATTTAACTGCAGTGTCTAATGAACATTTGGGAGAAGTGGTGTCTTTCTTAAAGTGTCAGTGTCCCCATCCCTTCCATTAAGGGAGTATTTTTCAGACATATGAAAGCTGAGCTGCCATTCAGAAAAATAAAAACAATCACCCCCCTCACCCTCTTGTAATTGTGCCATGTGGTTTTAAAGGCCTACGCATCTTAATTTATACATCATCTATGTCCCACCTCTTCCCCCTCATCCCTCCTAAATGTTGGGATGTCCTGGTGTTGGTCTTCAGAATATAGCATTTCCTCTCTTTCTTTTATGCTTGGAACAGTGAAATAAGGAACTGGGCTATTTTGAAAGTAATATCATTGTCATCTGAGTTAGCGTCCACTGAAATGAATGGGACAGTTCACACCTCAGAGCTATTGTTTCAGGCTTTCTGTAGATTCAAAGGTCTCTCCATCAGTGACACTCAGGACATACTTTCTTGCTAACCATAACTTATAGAGACTTTTAAAAAAATTAAAGCTGAGAATCGAGGTAACAATTGATAGTCTGTCCATGACCCACTCAGCTACTCCTTTGCAACCCTTATAGAAAATATTTAATTAAGATATGAAATCCCTCTGTACACTTCAGAGATGCTAAAATGTCTTCCAAGAAGACCAGGAAACACCAGACTTGACCTTCCTAATAATTCTTAGGTTTAAAAAACAAACAAACCAGAAAGAATACATTTATTCTGTTGAGGGAAAAACTTAAAACCTTTTTCTCATGAAGAAGCAAAAAGGGCATATACATAATTAAAAACATCTTTTACAGGTCGTTTTAAAGCTTTTTACTCCATTGCAAAAGAACTTACTCAACAGAGGTTCCTCTCTTTAGCAATTGGTAATTAACTGTCATTTTACTAGTAATGCTGTCATGACCTTTGGAAATACTATTGAGTGTAGGCTTGGGTCTGTGTATATTAGGGTCATGGAAATCAGAAATATTAATACTTGAAATAGTTATAGGACAAGCTATAAAGATTTTAAATTATAAAGTATTCTAGAACAATTCGGGTGTATATTGTTTTAAGGGAGAGTACATGTGAAATTGATCCAAATTAAGATTAAAACATGCACAGACTTCAGATAGCAAGGTTCGAGTGCAACTTTGGGTGTTACAGGGCTTGATGAAGTTTGATGTATTATGAATATGATATTCAAACTCTTCGAGTTCAACATGCGTTCATGATTCAACACCATTCTAAGAACAGAAAACACCACTGCAGACTTGTTCAATGTAATTTAGCATCTTGATTTGCTTACAACAGTATTTTTTATCCTTGCATATACTATGTCCATCTTTCTGTCATTGTCCACACTAGGAAAGTTAGGGCCATCAGTGGAGGCTGTAGTAGCAACAGGTGTTTTTACCACCCCATAATCTAATCATCCACAATAGAAGCTGTCTCTCCACTGGCAAAATTAAGAACCACAATCCAACACTCCAGCTGCACTTGTGGCAACAGATCTGCCTCGTCCACCACTAATAGGGTTGCACCAGTGATAATTATAAATCTTAATTTTCCTACTGGGGACATAAACAATGCTCCTCAACATTCCAGTACCCACTCTTTCTTTTTCTCTTCCTTTCTGACCCCAGCGTCCATTTTTTCTCTCTGCCTTCAGGACTGACTTTTCCTCCCTCTCTCATTTCCCAAGGCCTTTGCTAATAATCTCTGCCTTTTTGCAGCTCTACTTGATATCTCTCCCTTGTGCTATATTTTCAGATGAAATGCCTGATCAGTGGGAAGCAGATGCTTTTTAATTATTACTGTTAAATTCTTGGGCACTAAATGTAGTATCCCCTTAGAGCTATATCTTATATAGTAATACACTCAGTTTGTATTCTAGTCTTTTTCTTTATCTACTTAGGATCCATATAGTAAGTGCTGCTTTATTTTGGTACTCTCTGAAAGATCATTTCAGAAAAAAGAACTAGAGTGAAAACCATGTTTCTTCTTATGTAACTAACTGTAACATTAGTTGCATTATATGCAGTAACATTATTTCAGGTCTGAAAGGGGCAGCACTTTTCTAACCTTGGATCATTTGCACTTTCAAATTTTAATTTACTTTAACTCACAGTTTAAATATTTTTCAGATCTTAAAAATTACTTAAATATGTTCTTACAACTCTAGATTATTGTTCAGATGTAAATATCTAATTTTTGTTTCTCACTTGGTTTAGTTTTCAAGTAAATGTTCATTAATGAAAGTGACTTATTAAAGTTATTTAGTTTAGAAAGGTTTTATGTTCGTTATTATGCTGTCCATCTTAATATCTGGCATGTAGGTAAAACTTGCAGTATTAATAATGCATTTATTAATAATGAAGGTTTTCATTCCACTTTTTTGTCCTAAAATAGTTTTCATCAATAGAGAAAATGCAAAATAATTATTAAAAATAAAAATGTTTTGCTTAATAAATTTTTTTTACCTGAAGGTATAATTTTGAAAGTATTTTATAATTTGATGCAGTAGAGCATTTTTGGGTAGGGAGAAAATAGGAACTTGAAAAGCGGCACCATATAAAATGTCTTTGTTCAGAGCTTTGCTTTTGATAATAGCCCTTCTGGCCATACCACAAATCCCTGCTAAATATTAGTGTAATTCTTAAACAAAGAAAGTTTTGAACAGCCCTGCAGTGTTAAATTAAAGCCTTTAACTAACTAGTTAACAAACTAGTTTAAGCTGGGTGTGTATAACAAGTAAATTTATTCTGCCAGTAAGGCTTGGTTCCATTGTGAATATTTTTATGGGCAGTGCCATTAGTGATCTCCTGTTTTACAATTGAATAAAAACCATCAAATTTTATGCAAAAATACTAATATTAATTTTTTTTCATATTTGTGGGGTTAGCATAATGAACAAAATGACGAATAAGTATATTTACTAGCAGTCACCTGAAAGTCAGTGCCTCAGAAATATTATTAAAAACAGTTGTTACAATACAGCACTGATTCATTTAATATTTCCTTACAACTTCCTGTATCAGACTACATTATGATTATAAAAAGTGCTCTTTTTTGTAAACTATCACACACAGATTTTTTCCTCTTGCATTTCCGTTTACCTTTTCAAGACCACAGATTTTATGCAATGATTGGAGCTCATGAAATGCATACTGCTTTGATCTGTGACCTTTTTGTGGTGCTAATCAGGTTCCTGATATCATTATACCTTGCTCATTAATCATATTTCCTGCAGCCCGTCAGCCAGCCAGACAGCCCAGGCCCCTGTTTTCAGCCCTGTGTTGGCAGGTTTCTGCTTTTCCAGATTATTACAGTGTGATACTTTGGCTTCTCATAAGCAGACCCACATCAAGCTGTGTGCTACAATTAAAGTCAGATGGTCCTCAGGTTGAACAGGGATATAGTGTTGCAGCTGTCTGTCTTCCTGGAACAGACCAGTACGAGGAACAGATGATATGTAGGTCAGTGCATAATAACAGATTGTACACTACTGGGTCAAAGCAGGGGTTCAGAACATTAATTGACTGACAAACTTATTTAAAACTGATTCCCAACCTGTTTTTAAAAACAGTATATAGGATGTATTTTAAATAGAGTAGATTGCATATCTGGCTGTCTTTTGTGTGTATTGGTGGGAGAAAGAGGAGAATGGTGGATGGATAATACTACATTTTGATTGATGCCGTGTCATACAGTCAGCTAAATGAGTCTAATAATGTAATATAAACTATATTTTAGAATTGTAAAATACAGTTTTTACTTGCAAATTTATTTCCTCTTCATATCTTGTATAGTTTGACAAGAGAAAGCATGAATCAATATTTTTTTGGTAAAGAAGACTTTATTTGATCAAAGTAATAGTCTTTCATCAAGCTGTAAAATAAATTATTTTTGTTCAGTCTTCTCCCCCCATAGATGGAATACAAATGTATTTGGCCAGTATTTTTCAGGGGTTTTAGATCATTTATTGAATTTAACAGTGTTTTAAATGTGTTCTAGTTTTCCTTGATCCTGTGGAGTAGTCACAATTTTGTGTCTGACAACAGTGTGCTACTATTGTAATATATCACATCAGAAATTCAGAATTATGACTTCATTGATGCACCATAGATGTGTTAGATGAGCTGTGAAGCATCAGGGCCAAAAAAAATTAGGAGACTGTAAGAGGGCCCGGACTCACCCCTGCGGCGCCTCCTGCTGGTCGTCCAGGGAATTAGCTCACCAGCCTCTGGAGCGCCCTCTGCAGGGCGGTGATCCGCCTTTCCTTTTCTCTGGCCCCCGTGTCCCTCCCAGGACCCCGGTGCCCCTTGCTCTGGGTGCTGCCCCCTGGCAATACCCATACATATGCTAGGTCTCCCCTCCCAGGGGAAACCCCACCTCACCTCAGGATAAGGCCACTGCCAGTCACCAGCTAGCCCCCACTCTGGGGCAGACTGCAGTA